TGAGGGAACTTTACAAGAACAGAGATACTTTGGGACTACATGAATATACTAAGACGAAAGAAGTTCCAACATAGAAGGACCCAGCTTAACATGAAACGCTATTTTCGCAGTCGATTTACGTTACATTACATTACATATCATTTAGAAAAGAAGAAATTACAGGACTGTAAAATGCTGCATTGTCCAAAGAACATATGGTGTGCTACTGGAACAAATTTGGTGTGTTGGTTGAACGCTCCCTGTCTTCGTTACGAGGATAACCAACAGAGGTATATAAGTAAGAACTAGAACCTTTCGTTGAAATTTCTATATGAAACTGTACCGTACTATTATGCTGAACACCATACCAACGGGCACACGTCTTACCCCCATTTGGTGAGTAATGTCATCATTTGGATTTAGGTAAAATTCGACAGACGACCATCACGGTGAGTGCTCGACATCATCATTTATTATTATTTTCTTTCACAGTGTCGTCAGACTTACAGTTTCCATAGGGAAGTCCAACCGATGTCTCCTGTAAGTTTGTTCGACCACACATGCCCAACCCGGTCCGAGGTGCCCAGAAGAGACAGGGTCTGAAACCTGTGACGGGTACGTCAGGACTTTCGCCTTAGAGACCAAAGCGTGCTCCTGTCCTTTTCGCAGACCGCGCAGGTGTTTTCTCTGCTCTGTCCAGACCTCCTGCTCTCTCGTGTTTTCTCAAAGAAATGACCTGTTTTTGTACGTCCAGTTAATACATTATTTTGATGTTGTCTTGCAATCAACTGGTCATTTGGTGATGAATTGTAGACGCTAGTATGATTGTTGACACACTTACTTATGTCGTAGCTGGCCCTTTATTTTCCTGTCGACGCGCTGGCAGGTTTTCAACTTTTATTGTATCGGTTCAAGATCAAAGTAATTTGAGGCCTCTCCTTCCCGCAGTAGAAATGCCGTGGCGGTTAGACATTGACTGTGGTTTTGATAAATCTTTCTATTGTTCACTGGGATGTGGGAAAAACTAAACCGACTTGACAGAGGAAAACTGGTACCCGATAACATAAACTAAAAATTGAATCAAAGAAGAAATATAGAGAAGCGACCGGACCCTCGGCGGAACCCTAGGGGTCAGTCTCGACCAACTAACACCGGTCCCCTTTTCTTTCAAACCCACGAGAGACAACCTTGACGATGGGGGCGCTGGGGTTGGTGCCTATTCGCCCTCCCTTCCTTTGCCTACCCAACCGAATCAAAGAACGTACTAGTATTTGGAAACACGATATAAATCGTAAGTCGTACTGTCGTCCACAGATATAAACATAGTATAACAGAAATTGTTTCCCTTATTGTGAATAGTATAAAGGGTTGTATACGTTTGAAACTTTAATTCATTTGTGTAAAGAATCTACGAGCTTGTGACCTAGAAGGTCAACCATACTGAAGGATGTTACTATTTGATAGTAAACGCAGTTTCTAAACACGAGTAGAACAATTAGTAGTCCGTCTGTCAATTCTTTTGTTACCTCACCCAAAAATTTGTCACCGACGGGGGGAGTGATGTTTAGAAGTCATTATCACAAACGTCGTCGTACGTCAGACTAGATATCGAAAAGTTATGGAGTATTGTTTTCAGTTTCCTTACTGCGTCTAAATGTTTAAAATTAAACTTGTACAACCTTGATTAATTTCACACAGACTAATAGAAAAAATCGAAGGTGCTGAGGTCTGTTGACAGGCACAAAACATGGAGGTAAAATGGGATGTACCTCAACAGTTTCAACGGGGTTGAACAGGTGACAAGAGGGGCCCAGCCCCGAAACTTCGTCGCCCAACAAACTACAACGTCTACATTACCGGGACCTAGGTCCCGTTCCACGACGGGCTGCCGTTCCGAAACAAACCTTTTACTGGATGTTCACTTCCTTTTCTGGGTCTCTAATCGAACTAACTCATGTCTTGTTACTTGCCACACCGTCTACTGAATTTTTCGTGTTTGATGACCGTTCGTCTCGATGGTTACTAGGATTTTGCGGTTTGCATAAATACACTTGTTTATAACACAAAGAAAGCTTGGTTGGCTTTAGAAAAGCCAGCCCTTTATTAGTATATAAGTGCTTTGTTAGTAATTAAATCGCTCGAAGTGGAGTCTAAAGAGATGAGTTTTCAGTCGTCGCCGGAAGATGTGTAAGCTTTCTGCTGTCCTGATTTCAATGGGGAGCTCATTCCACCATTTTGGAGCCAGGATAGCAAACCCACGTGTTTTTGCTGACGGGAACTTGGGTCCCCCTCGCAGTGCGGGTGCAGCGAGCCGTTTGGCTGATGCAGAGCGGAGTGCACGCGCTGGGGTGTACAGTTTAACCATGTCCTGGATCTAGGAAAGGCCAGATCCATTCGCAGCATACAAATGTTATATTTCTGGAAAACCTTTTCTTTAATAAAAAAAAGACAGAGCTTTTTAAATAAATATATCTAACAGATAGCACTATTAAGTCCCTGTATGCCATCTCATGTTGTCTAAATGAATTCAGACCTTTTTGTATCCAGCTCTGTTCTCTGTGTTCCCTGAGCAGGACTGAGAGCGTACAGTAGCAGCCAGTTGATCTGTGTGAATGGCTCTAAACAGGTGTCAAGTGACCGGATGAATGTGGCCAATTACCTCACTGTGGAGCAGCACGGAGCGTCTGTTTTGCTTCTCCTTGCTCTGGAGAGATTATATTACATGAATACCCCAGACAAACAATTGGATGGATGAAAGTAGGCTCTACAGAGTTTTATTCTTCAAGATTTCCCACATCCAGGGCCTTATAGTCATCTGCTAACTCCCACCATCCTCCCGGTTTGATACTGTAAATATTATAAAGCTATTTTTTTTTAACTTATCTTTGCTATTGTTGTTTTTCTTTTCGTGTTACCAGCTTTTCAGGAGACAGAAATAATTTAAATGGTCAAATTAACCCTCACGTCAAAAAGTGTAACTGGTCTGTTGACCTTCCAAGTTCAATCCAGCTCTTTAGCTTAGCTAGTGAGCTAGCCTGCCGGATTGAAGTCATGGAGTTGATTTGTAATACAGCATGTTTTATTAGTAGCACTGGAAAGTATTAAATGTTCGTGTTTCTGCTTTAGATCTTCCGGTAGAAGAATACCTGAGAGCCAATGAGACTTTCTCCTCCTTCCTCCTGACCAATGGCAGCCTGTCGTCTGTGACTGTGAGCCAGTTGCTGAAAGCTCGTCTCAATTTTCAGGTGAGGTCTCTTCTGAATATCCTTGGATAACAACAATTAGTGTGTAGAAAGCGAACTCACTTGGGCCCTGAGCAGTTTCTTCTGTTTGATTGGTTCATCTGTTCTGACATGTGCAACCTAACAGAAGTTTCCAAAAGATACAAAATGATTTCAACTTTCACTTCAGAAACAAAAGGGGCAACAAAAGATTTAGACAGATCAAGTTCAAAGATAAAAGAGGAATTATGAATTGTGGAATTAAATTAACGGTGTGTATATATATATATAGAGTAAAGCAATCTTAAACATAACACTTTGGCATCTGTGAGGTAAATGGGCTTTATTAAATCACAGATAAAAAAAACAGCACAGAGGAGAACCAGTTTTATGTATCTTTTGTCCGAGCCTAACACTGTTACATGTAAAAGTGGGACATCAATTGTGTCACGTGCAGGTTGTTATGGCTGGATCTGAGTTGCAGCTGAAGGACTTGGTGTGTAATGCGAGCATGCTGGGACGTTTTCTGACGGTGGACGGAGGAGAAGCAGCCATGAACGATCTTCAGACTCAGCTGTGTAACGTGTCAGCTGACATCCTGAAGGAGGCTGAACGCATCTTCCTCTCTCAGCTCGATTTGCCCAAGCTGTTAACGGTAGGGATTGGCATAAAAGTGCAAAAATCAGTGGATTAAAAGCATCTTAAGAGCATTAATAAGTACCATCAGTAAACCCGTCCCTGTGTCCTTCCTGTCAGAGAGAGCGTCTGATGGCTAACACCGAAGACCTCAGGGACATCAGTCTGGCCGTCATGTCCGTTTCCCAGGAGATGGCCGTCCTCATCGATGATGTGAGAACACACTATTTTTCTTTTTAATCTGCGTTTTGAATTTTGTTTGACAGTATTTTTGTTATGTGCTGCACATTTACACTAGTTATTAATAACAGATAGCTATTGGAAATGATATCAAACTATCATTGAATATAATGCTATTTAGTGGTTATGTTATCCCTCTTAATAAATATGGAATGTATTTAACCTTGCAGGAAATCAGAGTTTAGTCTCTTTCTGTGCTTAGATAATGTTTCCCCTACTTTCTGGCTGAGTAAAGTTGAAAGAAAATGTCTGTCAGGAATAACATACAGTACATTATAACATATATGTGGTTTCTCCCTGCATGTTTACCCTCTTCTGTGTTTCTTTTCTGGTCCTTTTCCAAATAATTTCCTTTCTTCCTTCAGTTCTCCTCTCTCTCCAGCTTTGCTGACATGAGTGCAGCTCTCAGTCTTCTATCTCCAGCGAATCGCTCGGCGTTGCCCAGGGAGAGTTTTCGTGCTTTTTCAAGGATCATGTGCGGTCACCCAGAGATTGGTGGTGAGCGAATCCCTTCACTCAACTGGTATGAGGACAATGACATCAAGTCCTTCTTAGGAAAAAATGGCACCGAAGACAAAGACCTGGACCATGACAACAACACAAGTGAGAAACATACTAATAATTAAAGACAAATTAATGGCTTTGTGTGAAAAGGTTTGAGTATATTTCTTGCATTATAACTGTACTTTTGTGATTTTTAGGATGAACAGGAATAATAGCCACAGCAAAAACCAATAATTCCACTAATCAAATTTTTGCTGTGTCATGACTCATGACTATGTTTAATCAGGTTTTTTTGTCCAACATTTGTCTCCTTTGGTCTGTTCTTTTCTCAACGCAGCTCCATTCTGTAAAAGTTTGATCCACGGCCTGGAGTCCAACCCTCTGTCTCGCATTGTGTGGCGAGGGATAAAACCTCTGTTTATTGGAAAACTGCTGTACACACCAGACACCCCTGCAGTTCAGGAAGTCATGAAAGAGGTAGTCAACTCTCAGTGAATCTGGGAGGCTTTCTCAGGCTTTTAACTCTATCTTAATAATTGAAAACATATTCTGTAGTTGTTGTAGAAAATGTAAGGCATTGTGAAACAAATACATCCATCTAAGCTAACTACACGTTTCTGCTGAAGGTGAACAAGCCCTTTGAGGACCTGCAGATCCTCCAGGATCTGAATGAGGCCTGGATGGAAGTGGGGCCGCGAGTCAAGTATTACATGGAGAACAGTTTGGAGATTCAGCTACTGCAGGTCTGACTGCTGACTCTTCACAGGGGGGATACATGTATTTTAACACATTTGGTGCAAAGACCTTTTTTTTATATTTAATGTGTTTGTGTGTATGACAGGATTTGTTGAAGCGTCCAGAGGTCGCAGTACTGGTCAACCTGAGACTAGAGAACACGACCTGGACGGCCTCAAGGATCGCTCGTTTCCTGTCCACGCCCCCCCCAGGCACCCCGAAGAGACCCGGAGCGCCTCCTAACTGGCTGGACATCTACAACAACCTCGGCCACACCATCTCCACCCTCTCACAAGTCTCTGAGGTTCTCTTCCTTTGGCATTCTTGATTTTTCTTCATGTCAGAAATTCTAGCCTCTTACTGACAACAGCTTCTGTTATATTTCTTTTTTAACATGGCCATCCTTTTTGAGCACCTTTTTTATATTCTTTAAAAAAGTTTGATGGTAGGGTAGTAAATAGTCCTCTTACTCCTCACAATATAAGTAAACTTCAGCTCTTCTTCCCTGTCGTTTGTTATTAATGACTTTGGTGTTTCCTCCTATCCCCTCAGTGTTTCTCTCTGAACAAGCTGGAGGGGTTGGACACTGAAGGTCAGATGGTTGACAGGGCGTTAGAGCTTCTAGAGGACCGGCAGTTTTGGGCAGGTGTTGTTTTCCTGCTTCCTAACTCCTCATCCCCTAACCTGCCGCCCCACGTGAAATACAAAATCCGAATGGACATTGATGATGTGACCCGGACCAACAAGATCAAGGACAGGTACTCAGGAAGCTCCAAAATATCTTGTTTTTTACTTAATGTAGAACTTCTTCATTGGAATTTCTAGGAAACAGCTTTTGCTTTCTAGTAAATATGCATTTTGAAATTAAAGTTGATATTCAGATATATTCAAAATGTATTTTTGGTATTTTTCCTTCAGGTTTTGGGACCCAGGTCCAGCAGCCGACCCTTTTAATGATATGCGCTACATTTGGGGTGGCTTTGTGTACGTCCAGGACCTGGTGGAGAGAGCGGTGAGCCGCATCCTGTCCGGAGTTCAACAAACAACCGGCATCTACATCCAGCAGATGCCCTACCCCTGCTATGTGGATGATGTGTAAGTCAAATGTTGTACATTCATGTTTTTAGGAACTGGGGACACAGTCCCACATGATCATGTTGGCTGTTCATTCCCTTTCTCAAGTACACCAAGTGGGTAAGTCCCCACAGGAAAACATGAATAAGTATTTTATTTATCATCAACAATCCATGGCTTAAGACTAGAACTACATTAGTATTTTCTCACCTTTTCTTACTTTCATACTTTTTTTTTACCAGTTTCCTTCGAGTGCTGAACCGCTCTCTGCCACTCTTCATGACGCTGGCCTGGATCTACTCTGTGGCGATGATCATCAAAGGCGTAGTGTACGAGAAGGAGGCGAGGCTGAAGGAAACCATGAGGATTATGGGTCTGGGAACGGGAACGCTGTGGCTCAGCTGGTTCATCAGCAGCATCGTTCCTTTCCTTGTCTCTGCAGGGCTCCTCATCGCTATGCTAAAGGCAAGATAACCACTCACTCGACGCAAAACATATCAAAGAAAAGATGCTCACTTAGATACAAAACAGACGGTTGATCAATAAAGAAAACATAGAGCTGTAAAAAATAATATGAATAGTGCAGTCAGATTCAACTGATGATAATGTGTACAATTCAATGTGTTCAGGTTCAAAGCTTCTTAAAATGTTGAATGTATAGCGTTCCTTTATCTGTAATATTTATCCTCCTGAAGCCACTGTTTAGCCTCCTAACTTTTATTTTGTCTTCCTCTCAGGTGGGGGACATCCTGCCGTACAGCAACCCACTTGTTGTGTTTTTTTTCCTGACGGCGTTTGCCACCGCCACCATCATGCAGTGTTTCCTCATCAGTACCTTCTTCTCTAAAGCCAACCTGGCTGCTGCCTGTGGAGGGCTGATCTACTTCGGGCTGTACCTGCCGTACGTACTGTGTGTAGCCTGGAGAGACCGCCTCAACACCACCTACAAAGTCATCGCTGTAAGTAAATATGTATAGATATTCTGCATATATATATATATATATATATATATATATATACACTATATATATAGTACTAGAAAGACATTTTCTAGATGCATGAATACATATAGTTTTCAGAAATTGTAGCAAGACTCAATGCCCATATGATATCAGTAAGCCATAAATTAAATCCTATGAGTTTCAATAACAAAGAAGTTATTTCTTCCTGGCCATTGTTACAGAATTGTGTAAAGTGTCCTTGTGCCAGGATAATAATGTGCTTGTTCCTCTTTCATCAGAGCTTTCTGTCCCCTGTGGCCTTTGGCTTCGGCTGTGAGTATTTCTCTCAGTATGAAGAGCAGGGCGTAGGCATCCAGTGGTACAACCTCCGCTCCAGCCCTGTGCAAGGAGACTCGTACAGCTTCACCACCTCTATAGTCATGCTCTATGTGGACGCGTTCATCTACGCCACTGCAGCCTGGTACATCGAAGCAGTGTTTCCCGGTGCGACTATGGAACTTTATTCTAGAAATAAACATTGGAAATGTTCTGCGCTTTTATTTTTGTTGAGTTACAGTTAGGGGGATATTGAGTACAGATCTCTGTCTTCAGCAAACTATAAACTTTTAGTTCAAGGATCACTTATACAATGTACCATACTTCTGGCTTGATTTTCGTTTAGACAGGACAAAGAATCCTTCTTTACAGATAATCATTTATTCAGAAAAATGCAAATTTGAAAGCTGGACCTTAAAACTGCTTTTATGTGTTTTGTTTTTTTTGGTTAAATCATCAAATATAAATTCAGTAATACATTATTTTTTATTAAATGATTTCTTAAGTATTAAAATAATTCACTGCTACTAAGTATTACTAAATTAAGTGTTGTTTTGTTGTAGTATTGGCCAATGTATCTGTATATTAGCTTAACATTGCACTAACCAGTATCATCAAAATGTAGCACGGGATAACATTTTATCTGGTTTTTTTCACACCAGGAGAATATGGGATCCCCAGGCCCTGGTACTTCATCTTCCAAATCAACTATTGGGGAGGAATTCCTCTGGAGGCAGGCATGCCCATCCCCCCCGCACCTGGAGAACAGGATGGAGGTACAACACTTGTGTAGTCATTCCAACCAAGCGGATGTTTCTCTTTCACTTCTAAGTTAAACTGTCACAGTAATCCAAAGATACATTAAAGGGGACCTATCATTCAAAATGCACTTTTTGCAGAAATATGTGTCCCCGGCATGTCAGGTAACTCACAAATGGCACATTTCCACTGCAGAGGGGTAGCCCCGTTTAAGCGTCCCTAAGCGTCCTTGCTCAGGCCTCGGGCTGCCTCGCTGGCCGTCCGAGGCCGTGGCACATTTCCATTACAGTTTAGGAACTGGGGTAGCAACGCAGTGTAGGCGTGGCGATCAACTTTTTTTTGGCCAGTGAGATGTAGGAACGACAGCTTTTCTTTGACGTTGCCATTTTTGTAGCTCCTCCGTTTAAAAAAAATGCTGTGTATATAAATGCTGCAAGCTTGCTTCTAGATATATATGCGACGCTCGGGATGATCTCGCGTGCGATCTTGTGACGATTCTTTCTGACCAATCAGCAGTCGAGAGTGTTGACGTCACTAGTTCAGCCCCGGNGGGGGCAAGATCTCCAACAAGCTGTTTAGGACGGAGAGTCAATAACCATACTACTGTATACAGAGATGCTGTATGAGAAACCAATGTGAGTTTGGAAAATTGCACAATGTAAATCTATTTTAGTAGACCTCAACAATGGAATTATCATCAGTAGAAATGGCCATGACATGGGACCTTTAAAGTAATCAAATTGGAATTCCATCAGCAATTTGCTAGACGTGAAAGGCACAGGTACAACACAGTCCTGGATAACAATAGGGTTACATGATTTTGAAGTTTATATATTTTTTAATAAAACAGCAGTAGGCTACTTATCAGTGTTTCTCTGAATTGAAGAGTCCCTTTGGAGCAAAGCTTACGCAAAATTATATTACGTGTGAACATAAATAAAGACATTTGTGTGGGGACGAAACAGAGCATCATGTTTCTGAAATTTCTAGGTTTTTATGTTCATCTATTTGTCTGTTCGAAGATCATAAATCCTGATGTGTAGAAATGTGTCTAGTTTAGTGTAGTAGTGAACATAGATGTAAACAACTCTGCATCTGCATGTGAGGGTGTGTGTGTGTACTATATGGTGTGTATCATCTGACAGACACTCAGACACTTTACGAGCAATTCAAGTTTAATGATTGAGCCTAAACACCGCTGCGAGCGTAAAATACACATTCCACGAGAATTCAGAGAATGCTCGTCTGTCTGGATGAAACCCACTCAATCTCGTTTTCATTCTTATTAACCCGCCTCTCAAAGTCGGCAGGATGTTAAACAAAACAAAATTGTGTGAAAAGCCAAGTCTAGCAGATTGAACCTCAAGGGTTAAAGAATTCAAGGCTTGTATTGTCATTCGTACATAGCTACAGTGTAGTTATGTCGATGAAAATCTGAGGTCACAGGCTCCTCCAACAGTGCAACACAATAAAACATATCAAAGAGTGCAAGTTAATACAATAAAATATAATAGAAGTAGTGCCATAATTGGTCTACCCTACTTTATTTCATGATAATCAAATCATCTTGTCAGAATAATACACTGCTCCTTTCTTCCTGGAGGTTTCTCAATGCTCTTCCCGACACATGCTTTCCATATATGTTTGAGATATAATACCTCATATAACCAATTTATATTTGTGTGTGATTTTGGTCATTTCTGCACATAAGACAGCTGTTGCCTGTTTGTCCACCCTGGAAAAGGGATCCTACTTTTCCATATTAATGGCGCATTTCCACTGCAGCGGGTAGCCCCGTTTAAGCGTCCTTAATCGTCCTCAAGCGGCCAGGCCAGTTTTTGGTGGCCTTTCCATATAGCGTAGCACCGGCTAGCGGGTACTTTTTCTCTCTTTTTCCGGCCCCATAAAATCGTGGTTCTATCAGGCCAGGGCCGGGGCTGAACTAGTGACGTCAACACTCTCGACTGCTGATTGGTCAGAGAGAATCGTCACAAGATCGCGCGCGAGATCATCCCTAGCGTCGCATATATATCTAGAACAGAGGTTGCGCTAGACTTTTTAGCTGCCCGTAATTTTNACTAGTGACGTCAACACTCTCAGACTGCTGATGGTCAGAGAAGAATCGTCAAACAGATCGCGCGCGAGATAGGGTATATATATGCGACGCTAGTGATGATCTCGCGCGCGATCTGTTTGACGATTCTTCTCTGACCATCAGCAGTCTGAGAGTGTTGACGTCACTAGTTCAGCCCTGCCTGATAGAACCACGATTTTATGAGGGCCGGAAAAAGAGAGAAAAAGTTACCCGCTAGCCGGTCGCTTACGCTAATATGGATGGAAAGGCCACCAAAAACTGGCCTGGCCGCTTGAGGACGATTAAGGACGCTTAAACGGGGCTACCCGCTGCAGTGGAAATGCGCCATTACATTACTTGCATGTAAGTGGGTTTGTAACAAACACACAGTTAATTATCATCTACAAAGATACCACAAAAGGAGAAAGATAATCTTGGCAGCCTATTGTGATGCAACTATTGCCCTAACTGTGTTTTCTTTAAATGTTAATCATCGGGCCAACATAATTAGCCGCTGGTCCGGTGTAACACCCCGTGTCAAATGAAGAGCCGGACTTTCCACTGGAGAGTGATTGCACTTGAAAGTCTGCAAGATTAGCACACATAAGCATAGCCTCAGACGAAATTTCTCGGTTGGCAAACTTGATATTTGCTATGCAATTGCCTTGAAGGTTTTGAAGATTTAACAGTGAAAGTTGTGGCATTGTTGGCAAGAACATCTACAGAGACGTTTGTGTGAAAGAACGCTCTTATGCCGTCTACTTATTTGAATTTACTATGCGCTTACCAAGACTCAGGGAAACAGAGGCTTGATGAAGTTTAACATATTGATGACCTTGTTTTGTCATTTAATGGAGTGAAAACATTCAAATAATGACATTAAAATAAAATAAGACTCTACCCATTCACATGCTCGTCATTTGTTGCTCACCAAAGACATTGTTTCAGACCCTCTAGATTTTAAATCTCTCTAGGGCTCTTCTTTTGTCATGATAAAAGGGAATTAGACTGTCAAACGGCAAAAGCCATTTACAGCGTCTCACTGTATTGATTTTTAAATTTTGTTTTGAGACTGTCTCCGAGTCATCTGGGATACATTTAACAAAGACTTGGTTATCCCTGCACAATACTTAACATTTCTCTCAGGGGAAATCAATGAGAGGTAGAAAATAATTAAATGTAGGAATTGTGCAATAACTATATTTGTGGGTAACCAAAGAGAAGGATGGTTAACTACAGAGGATTAAGTCATTCATCTGTTATATATTCTGAGATGCATTCATAGTCAGTTGACTAAGTAGTGCAGAATCTCGTGACCTGGGTCCAAAGAGCCGACTGGCATAAATATTAATAAAAGATGCAGGCACTTCCGGAGGCTGACGGAGTTAAAAGGCAGGACAGGCCAGCCAAAGAGAAGTGGACAGATATGCGGATGAATAGACATGTGACACACACAACACTGTGTGTCCAACAAGATAAAAAGCACTTCAATTAGCGCAGGAAATATTGATTAGCTTTTCTTCATGTTCTCATTGGGACACGCTGAGCACCAAGGAGATATAGGGAAGATGGGTCGAGTATCTCCTATGGCATCTTAATTTCTTTATATCAATTTGTAATTAGTACACAGAATCCTTGTTGGATTAAACCTGATTCCTTAACTGCAATTAGAATAATTCACTTTGTTGCTTAGAAACGGTTTTGGAAATGCTTTTGATTGGTCACAGCCTTGGAGATGATCACTAAATTGTATGATTTATATTTGTGAAAAAGCATTCTGTGTAGTGTACACTTCTGCCAACATTTCGCTTTGTATGCTTTTTCCGTGACTATTTTAGCAACACAATTATTAATGTGACAGCGGCGTTTACATGTGTCAGCATAAATTATTGACATTTGCGCGCACTCGGCTATAAATAGTGTTGTGGGAGAAGGTTTGTGCCTTCATCCTCTGACAGCCTTTCCATCGCTGTCACTGGCCACTCTGAGTTTATACAGTACAATAGTAAATGGCATGCGGACAAGGAAGTGCTTCTCTCTCACCATTTGTCTGTGAGGCAGGTCGATCAGTGTTCTGTCCTTGTTACTCTCATCAACATATTACAGTACTAAAAAAAACCTCATTGTGCTTCTACATACTCTAATCAAAATATAGTATTAAAACATGTATCCATTAGTTGATTAACTGGGAATTAAAAATGTTTACTAATCAATTAAGCGTACTGTCTCAAGCAGAAAAAGCATTTTTTCACATTAGTCCATTTTAAGTCAATTATCACAGAAATATCACACCACCATTATATGACACTTTAATGTTCGGTCCTTCACAGTTTATGTTAGGTCACAATTCAGTATCCAAATCGGAGGAACAGACAAAAGTCTAGCATTGGTCTAGCTCAGGGGTGCCCAACGATTCCCAGTCGATCGCGAGATGTGTCTAAAAATAGAACAACAATATTCTGTTTTGTCGTTAATGTATATAACATAATCTTCCTGTGCCAGAATAATGCACTTGAACGCATCAAAGCTTTGAGATTGGCGTGACCATACATATAAACACTAGATGGCTCAAGGGGGAGTCGCCAGCGTAGCTCACCGGCGGCCATCTTGCCACAGCCAACTACTGAAAATTGGTTGAAAATGTAGCAATCTACGGTTATTTCAATAGTGCACCATATACATAATGTTATGAATGAGCAAGCTGCCTGTGGCAAGATGGCATAATCTTCCTGTGCCAGAATAATGCACTTGAACGCATCAAAAAGCTTTGTGATTGGCCGGCGTCACCCCATGTGTCGGGCCGTGGCTTGTGGGCAGTGGGCACTATTTCGCTGACGTTGTCCGTGTCAACAGGAGTGACAGTCCGTACACACTCAAGACCGCAATTATGGCAGAAGCTAAAAAGCCCAAAATATATAATTTTCACTCCGAGTGGGAGGATGATCATTTTTGTATCTATT